CCGGGCTGACGTGTGAGGGGCAGAATGTGTGCAGACACTATGGCGGATGCTTGCAGTCGGGGTGTCCAGAATGTAGGGGTCTCATCACTGTTAAGAACTATTTCTGAGGCCTCGTTGGCAAACACGAATCTTCCACCGCTGAGGAAGGTAGGGCCACGGGAAAGTGATGTTCAGGGAAGAGAGCGTGGGTCTCCAGCTGGCGTGGACTCGCGTGTGCTGAGAGCCAGCTTCTTCCCAGTGTGCGTGTCTCCTGCAGTGGCTAGTCACGTGGGCGGAACACAGCAGCAGACAGAAGGCCACACTCAGACCGACAGAAACGTGACCCAGGACTGGAGAGTCACAGTGAAACGGTCTCCGGAGGAAGATGACGGACAAGAAACATGCCCACTTTGTGGGCCGACGACAGAGAAGGACGATCTCTTTGGGCCTGGCAGTAGGTTTCTTCTAAAGGCACGTTTCCTAAAACAGACCCTTACCCCCCTTCTTCCCACTTTCTCGTCTGGTCATGCCGTGCACCCCAAGACAATGGCCCGCCCTTCGTGTTTTCCACCCAACGAGAACACTCCTCTTTTGGACCTGATCCCCCGTGGCCCTGCGGCATCCTGGAGCTCAAGGTGATTTATGGAAGATCCTGGCCTCCAGCATCATGGTCTCTGTAATTCAGTAGTGAAGTCGGGGACACACAGTGCGGGCGGAGCGCGCTCCAGCCCTGAGCGAGAGCACCTGCCCTGGAATCTGCCCAGCAGCGCCTCCCTCCGCTCTCACACTTCTCCTCGGAGCGCACGCCGTCCCCGTAGCTACAGAAACGGTCAGTCCATGCAGAGGCTGCGGGGACAGCAGGGACGGTCCACAATAATGAAGAAAAATTCAGGGGGATGCAGGCACTGAGGTGAAAACGCAGGGATGTGAGGGAGATGAAAGCATTACGCTTCCAGAACAAAATCGAATGCTCATCCTTGCGAGAGGTCAGTTCGATGCTGGTCTCCCATTTAAAGAAACTCACGTTAAATAGTGCTGGCTGCCCTCCCACTTTGTTACATGTTGATTGCATTGAACACAAAGTTGCATCGTGTTTCTTTAAAGGGCATCAGGACTCCAGAGGGGACACGCACACCTCCCCATCACCCTGCCGGCTACCGCCGCCCCTCAGATCAGACGTAGGTCCTTCGACCCCAGCAAAGCGCCGTTGCAAAGGAGGAGGCGGCGGGTGCCCCCGTCAGGGACACTGCTGAGAAGAAGCCTCACGCGATTCCTGGAACTAAGGTACTAGCAGTAGGAGGAGCGGAAAACATACTCATTTCATTTTTGTAAAATATTGAAGCCTATATTGCTGACATTCACTTATGTCTCTTATAAGCATGTCCCATCTACGCATTTATAAATATCAGATCAATGATTATTTCTTTATGATCCAGTTACCCAAGTCAGTGAGTAACAATGGTGCGGCTTTCAACTTTCTTCCAGGAAATAATTACATCTAATTTACTGTCCTTTGTAATCTAACTAGCCCAAGCATTAGATGAAGCAATATTTGAGCATAAATTTCGTAACCTGTAATAGAGAAGAGAAAATACCAGGACAAAAGCTTCTTGATACAGCTGAGATTTAGAAAATTGGTGACAGAATAGGAAAAATAGGGGCCTTAGTGTTACTACACATGCCCCGGCTTTGTAAGGTTTACAACAGTGGGATCAGGAAGCACTGACCCATCAAGAAGAAAACTCCTGGGAGACGTGTGGGCAGAACAGAAGCTGTTGTGGCCCTGGCCGGTGGCTCAGCTGGTTAGAGCGGCATCCTGATACTCCAGGGTTGCAGGTTTGATCCCCAGTCAGGGCACGCACAAGAGTCAACCAATGATGCATCAGTAAGTGCAAGAACAAATTAATATCTCTCTCTGTCTGTTTGTCTGTCTCTCCCTTCCTTCCTCTCTGTCTCCATTCCACCCTCTCTAAAAACAATAAATAATTATTAGAAAAAAAGAGTTAAAAAGAGAAGGTGTACTACTTGCTGTTGACATTTACTTTTGCTTTTCCGAGTCTGTGACTCGTGATCGGGGGCTCCGCACCCACCGGAGCCTGTTTCCGGACGGACGGGGGTGGAGCTGTAAGGACACCGCACATTAGGCTCCGTTACCAGGCGTCCAGGGCGCAGGACCGACGTTACCACGGCAGCGCCTGCCCCTGCCGGGCTCCCCACACGTACAGGGAGCTCAAAGGCATTAAGGTAAAATATAAAATAGCAACAACACGAATGATTTAAACCAAAGGACCTTTTTCTCAAAGAAAAAATTTTTAAAAGGGCTGCAACGGTAAGAAAGGACTGAATTTGGAGTTAAGAGTGAAACTGACAAACGTGTAAGATCGATGGCTCTGAGGTGAAAGGTCCACAGTGTTAACCGAAAAAGTGGGCAAGAGTTGGAAATCAGGCGCCGTGGTGCACTGGTAAAGAGCTCTCAGGGGAAAACAAACAACAGGAAACACCTTCCCGGCAGTGTTTGCTCACGTCCAAGGTGTTGACACCGTGCCAACAGAAGGGACCCGGGACACGGGGATGGAGGAAGGGGCAGCGGCTTCAGCAAGGCCGGCGCCCATGAGCCCCCACACGGCGGGGAGTGTGGAGGAGAGAAGCCAAACACCTGCCAGGGACGCCGACAGAGGAGATGGGACCGTCTAGGGGACCACTGTGGGGCACGTCCGCGGCCACGTGGCACTGAACTCGTGGTGAGGTGCTGATGCTGTCTGCTGGAGAGAGGAGAGGCCCCATGAAGGCGTGTGGGGGGCAACGACTCAGGAGCGGGTCGTGCTGGGTTGGGGAGCTGAGGGTCCCGATGCGGAGCTCACGTAACCCACCCGAAGGAGGTGCAGGGGAGAAAACAAGTAACTGAATAGGACACAGGGGTGGGGTGGGCGTGAGTCAGTGTGAAAGTGAAGACACACGTGGGCAACAGTGGAGAGCAAAGCCGAGGTAACTCCAGTGCCCCTCCAGAGGGGCTGGGACCGCCAGGGCCAGGGGGCGGGAACAGGGGAGAAAGGCACATGCGGGGCCTGCCCGCGGCAGTGACGTTGAACAGGATCCATTCGCTGAGGGGAGTCTATGGAAAGGCCTGGGATATGGGGGGGACGTGTGGGTTTTGGGACAACACTTTTTGCTACTAGATATCTGGAAAACGATGAATGGCAGTGAGGGAGGAAAAAACAAACAAGAGATGTAAGAGCGCCAGGAGCGTGCACGGGAATGAGCCCTTCCAGAGGGTAAAGGACGTTTGGAACACACGACAGGCACAGCAGGGATTTTCCGGGACGCGGGACTCCTCCGGACACGGTAGACGCAGGCTCCGACGACGGCTGGCCGGAAGGGCCTGTGTCCCAGCTCACCCGACGCGTCCCCTGTACACTGAGCCCTGAACACATTGCCTACTCGCGAGGAGTGAGTGTGTCCAAGTCACACCTGACCCACCATAGGTCATCAATATGTCCCCGCCAGCAGCAGTGGGAGTCGGTGGTGACAGGCCGTTCCTGAAACAGTCACCGTCAGGGGACCCCATGAGACTGCAACGTTTGACATGCAAAACTGGAAAAGTGTTCCTTCACAGCGTGGGCTAGTCCAGAAACATGCCAAGGAAAACCCCGCACCGTTACAGGGTCACTTACGGTGAGGCTGTGAGTTTGGTTATGAGCCTGGGTTAAAAGTCAGACGCGGAGAAATGTCTGTTCAGGTGTCTGCCCGTCTTTTGCTTGCTTCTCTGCGGTGATGTGGTCCGAGCTCCTCACAAATCTGGGGTATTAATCCCTCATCTCGTGCATCACGGGTGAAAATCTTATCCCATTCATTCAGTTGTCTGTTCGTTCTGTTGATGTTTCCTGTGCTGTGCATTTTTAAAGACTTGCTGCAGTTTCGTTTGTTTGTTTTCTTTTGTTTCCCTTGCCCAAGGAGGTACATCCGAGAAAACCCTGCTGTGAGACACGTGTGAGATCTTACTGCTGACATTTCCTTCTGGGAGTTTTACGGTCTCGAGTCTCACATTTACCTCTTTAGTCCGTGTCGGGTTTATTACCATGTGTGGTGTAAGAAGGTGGTCTAGCGGGGGGGGGGGGGGGCGCTCCGTAAAGTATGGACTTTCTACCCACGTTGCTGTACATCTGCAACTAATACAGATGATACTGACTGAAAACTGTAATTAAAAAGTAAAAAGACATAGGAAAAGTCAGGCGTGAATTTGAGTCTTCACACATTCTACCTCTGTAAACTTTAAATTAAAAAAATTTGTTTTTCTGTTAAAAAGTGTCAATAGTTATTATTTCAGTGGGTTGTGAGAATTCAATAATATGATTCAAGTCAAGCACTTAGCACACTGTCAGGCGTTACATGAAATGTTAGTAGTGCTTTCGCTTTTGAAACTGTAAGATGAATTTTTCTGAATAAAGTCAAAAATTAAGAACCAAAACAAGCTCTTCCTCAGGGTTTTTTAGTCAGTAATATTAACATTATGGAAAAGGCTAAAACTCACGGGGCTTTGGGTGCGGTGATTCTAACCTTACGCCGACTCAGATGCTGAGCACGTCAAGTGACAGCACGTCCCTTCGCGATTGCGTTATTTCGGAAGTCTAAGAGCACTGACAGAGCCCTAAAACGTGAATTTCAATGACCAGGGGTATCTGTCATTTTTAATGAGAAAAAGAAGAAAAGCAACTATCCAGTCAAGATGGACAAGACGCTGTGTATTAAAACTTAGATTAGTCTGATGAGAGGCAATACATGCGCAGAAATTCATGGAGTCTGAGCAATAGAATGAAGACAAGTTTGGATACTTGAGGACCGTATCTATACTTGTTTCTCAGGTGACATGCAATATACGCCCTTTGGGAACAGAATGAAGCTGACCTGGGCAGACCCAGCAGGATGGACCCTGTGTCACCCCTGGGAAACGTGTGACGTCAGCTCCAGAGCCGGACACCTGAAGCAGGTGTGCGTTCCCCGGCTTCTCCCTGCACAGCACCTACCTCTGCAGAACGGGGCAGGGAAGTCCCAGGACGCGCCGTTCCCCGGGCTGACGATGCAGGTCAGGATCGCGTGGCCCTCCAAGACGTAGCCAGAGAGACAGCTGTAGCGGATTTTGTCTCCGATGTTGAATCTCGTTCCGTGCAGGACGCCCTTCAGTATCTCCCCAGGGTTTCCGCAGGTGTGGCTCGGCAAAACTGCGGGAAAGAGAAAAGAAATGGTAAAGGATGGTGTTGTATTAACAGCAATCTACGGCCCAACACATACACCGCCTTCTGAAGTATTGAAAGCAGTGACTGTGGCACAACAGTAGTTTAATTCAGCCTCAGAATTGAACAGAGAAATGTATTGGTGTTTTACATCAGCAGTTCAGTATTTTAGTCAAAACATCTTTAAGGTATAAATGATGCATTTTGATGAGAGGGAAAAACACGACTCTGTATAAATTCGGTGCCCTCATCTAGGTTGCTTTTCCGATGGGGGGAGTCTGCAGCCCCCTGAAGCCAGCCTCCTGTGACAGAGCAGGGTGCAGACTATCCCAACAGTGGACAAGCATCCATGGATGTCCACCCCACCTGGACTCCGGACCAGCACAGCCTGGAGCCCACCACCAACCAATGTTTAATCAAGGTTTGATGGATAAACAGTAGATGAAAGATCATTCACTCATCTATCAGCTTTTAACAAAACTGCCCCCTATTTTATCAGTAGAATTCTGGGCACGTCTAGTGTCTGAGTCACGGCTGGGTTTCAACCACCAGTGTTAACCATCAGATACTGTGTTCACTCACACTGTGGCGAGACAGCCTGAATCTTGCCCTTCTCGACTGCCTCACGTTTTCTGCCTACATCAATGACCTTGAAACCTAATTGACACGCCATCCCCACTCAGAAAACATAGTTGTTGACTACATCAATGCTCATTAGGTTGAGTAGAGACAGGTGATGATTGTGAGCTGTGGCCTCTATATTTCTGGTTTAAGTCCAGAAGGTCCCCAGTACATCAGCTGCTATCACGTAGAATTCAGACTAAGGACCCCACCATTTAAAAAAGGAATGACTTCCCAACAGAGAAGTACTTCCAAGTGAATAACATCAAATTATTTTTTATCTGCATCCAATTATTTTACACTGGTACAGAGTGTAGCTTGATATATACATAGAATATGGAGTAATTTTTTTTTGTTTTGTTTGTGTATAAACTGAGAAAGAGACAGACCTTTGGAACGAGGTGGAAGCTCAGCATTTCTAAAATTATTTTATTATGCCATTAATTACGGACAAAGCCCGCTCTGTAGAAACACACAGAACCAAACTGTGCCGCCATTTAGGCGCTGAACGTAATGGACATATTGATGAAATCACCATCCACGTGGCCAAGGTGTGCCCAGCTCTATTTCTTAGACAATGATGTCTGAGAACAGTCAACAAAAACCTATTCGGGACACAATAGAAAATAGGCAAGTTTGGTTGACAATCATCTTTTCTTCTTGTGGAAAAGGGAGTTCTTTGTTCAACACCATATTCATAATTTGTAAGTCAATAAGTCTTTTTAAAATGTTGTTTATGAACATTTTAAGTGTTTTCACCTTTAACTGCCTATAATTTCCCAAGTAGAGAGAGTTTAAGCTCTGCCTGGGGGTCGATTGCTTTTCCGGCTTGGTGAGAGCTTCAGGTCTTAGGTCCGAGATGCACAGCTGACGCATTTGATTGGGCGCCAGGGACAGAGAGAGGCTGGGGCCGGGGGGCAGACGCGTGGAGTTGGAGGCTGTTGGTGTTTTTCTTCCCTGTCTGAAAGCATCTGAACGAACAAACCCTTCCCTTTTGTAAGGGCCTTCATTCCTTTCCATGAACTATTCGTAATACTTCTTATCAGAAAGTGCAACTCACTATCCTCTGTGTTCAGATACATTTCCCCAAAGACGAGAGTTGTCAGTATAAATCTGTAAAACATCTTAAATCCTGCTGTTGATGGTTGCAACAAGCTATTGCTTTCACCTAACTGGATAAACAAAGGAGCATTCTGGAAACTGAGTGCAGCCCTAAGAACTTCTCTGTCCACTTTCCTATTGAAAACAGAAAGAAATGACTTCTTAAAAATGGTCTATCTTCAGCACAAGCTGACACACAGAAAGCTCGTCATAACAAAAAAACAAACTATGAAGCAGACCGCAAGTTACTGGTGGTACTTGAACCGGCATCTCACTGTGTTACCTTCGGCCTATTTCATACATTTAAATAAGAGTGAGGGATAAACAATTTATATAAAACCTAACTTTGCAGTGATATTGTGAGGAAGTGAGAAATGACACTAACTTCAAAACTTTTGAGAAGAAAATATCATTTCTGAAAACAAGGGTCCCCCTGAGTAGGATAAGCCTTTTGGGGGAAAAATCCATGTCTTAAAAACTTGAACAGAGTTTAACGTCATATTTGGGAACATAGACAACTGAAAAATTCAGGGAGTAAAATAATTCCCGCCATTCTGGGCCGTGAAGCCAGGAAAGCTACTTGAACAGGAAATACTGTAGATTTAAAATTAACGGTGCCAACGTACAACTAGAAAGAACTGAAGTCTACCTGCTCCTGTGGTTAACGTCATGTCTCAGACTGTCGTCGATGACAGTGATGACGCTGATGACCCTTCTCCAGGGGCAGCGCGGACTCTATCGCCTGTGACGGCCGTCGGCAGCCACGCGCCCTCTCCCAGCCCAGCAAGCCTGCCGGGTGGCGACGGCCATGTCCATTTCCAGGGCCACCTCCGCCTCCCCTTCCTCCGCAGACCACCCCGGCTTCTCAGCCCAGGGAAAGGCCTCCTGGTCCGTTCCTGTCCACAGACTGGTCTTTGCCTTGACACCCTGACAATTCTACTGCAACCTGAAGAAGCGCTGACCCCGTGCTTAGTGCCTTTTGAACGGCCTCACTTTCAGTGGTCGGGGTATTGAACGGAAAGAACGGGATGCAAGTCTCCGCTTTTACCGCCTTCGTTCCGTTTACTCACTAAAGGCGGGTCCTCATCGGTATTTCCTCTCCATGACGTGGTGTAGGATTGGGACACAGGTGTCCCAGCACCCACTCTGTGTCACCCTGTCCGTGGGGGCACGGCAGCCAACAGCCTCGGGTCCACCCCTCGACCTGCTCACGGGGTGGGGGGGGCATGCGTTCATTTTTGTCTCCACAACATCCAGAACAATGGCTCTGAGCAAGGCCTTGTTAAACATAAGTCGACTCAATGACCATTATCAATATTAATGAAAAGTTTACTGTGTATTTAGAGAGAGTGTGTGCACGATAACTAACATTTACATACTGAATAGCTGTCTGGGGACAGAGAAAATCGAAAAAGTTTTTCAAAAGCAGTAGGACAAAATCAACCTTTTAGAAATAATGAATCAGTAACAAATTATAACTTTAAGTCACGTTTCTTCCCACCACCCCATCCCCCATAGTTGGCTAAAAATGTAAATAGGCTTCAGAGGCTTAAAAACAATTTAAAAAAATTTAAAATAAAATAATTTAACAAATGTGGAAGCAATTAAAAATTAATGTATAAAGTTCAAAATCACTAGCTGTTAGCAGAAACAGATATCTATGATTTAGGCAATGAAGATTTGTATTTTCAACCAATTTTTTAAGAAAAAAATTAAAATTTTAATGTGATTGATGTCAAGAAGTAAAAAAGAATTGAGAATAAATTAAAATATTTATTTTCGGTAGGAAAAACAAAACAGCAAATATGCCCATAATATTATAAAAGCAGCAGTTTTATTTTAAAAATGATCAGAACCCCGTCCGTTGTGAAAAATAGATGGAAATGAGTGTAGGTCTGCGTAAAGATGGACATCTAGACATACGTGCTACCAACACGCGAGACTTGGCGGCTGGAGTCATTTAAAATGAGTAAATCCCACCAGTTGTCATTTCTGCCTATTTGACCTCAAGTAACAATTTTAACCGGTTCCCTGAAGACACTGGCTCTCCCTCCGTGTCCCCCACATCAAGTATTTAGCAAATGCTCCCAGCACTGCCTTGCACTGTGCTTTCAATGCCCTCTCACCTTCCCTGAAGTCATTTCCGCCCTTTCCCACAAATGCTTCCAGAGGAACATCTTCTCCAGGCCAGGGCTCCCCACCGGGCAGGTGTGTGGTCACGGGCCAGGATTTCTGGAAGGGGACGCAGGTGGCAGGTTTCCACCGGGCCTCAGGGAGCCAAACCTGGGCGCCAGGGCTCCCACGGCGGCTGTCACTCCAATTACACGCACGCGGCTCCCTCCCCCTGCCACGCTCACTAGGACCGGGCCAGTGCCAGGGCCGCAGCTCCGGGCAGAACCAGGCTATGGCCTCACGACCCCCCACCCACCTGCTGAAAGCGGAAGGGCTGTCATGTCGACTCCTTTTCCAGGAGAAAGGGAAAACGATACTAAAATAAAATGCGGTGTTAATACTCGTTATGAAATGGGATGAAAGGCGAGCGAACAGAGGCCTCAGTTTCTCCCGAAGAGGAAGGACGCAGCGTCTCCACGGCCGGGTTGGGGATCAGGGTCCCCGGGGCGGGTGCCACACTCTTCAAGGGTGTCACAGCAGCTTAAGGAGATAAGAGTTCGCAGACCTGCCTGGCGCCGGGCACTTGAGCCCTCCTTGTCCACAGGTGTTTGCCCTGTGCCCCCCCCCACCCTTGGGGGGAATTAGAGGAATCAGATTATGGGACTTTCAGGAAAACGGCACACACCTGATTTTCACAGGTCGAAGCCGGACAACTGTTCTCTGACCGACTCTGAGAGTGGCCGGTGGCTGCGGGAGATGCTGAGACAGCGGGGCGTGACGAAGCCGCGAGGATCTCCCGGCGGGCACCAGGTCCTCAGCGCCAACCCTCCCGAGTCTGTTCTCACCCGCTGTGGGGGAAACTCGGGAGGGACCACTGTCTGCAAAATTGCAGGGAGGCCCGCCGCTGCCAGAGGAGGCGAGCTCTACGCGAATTGAAAGGGGAAAAGCGGCAGCTTCAGCCACCTGCGGGGCAGAGCCGGTCTGTGTAGCAGGAACGTAGTGGTGGCCAACGCTGACAGAAAGGCACAGAGCCGGGCGGGCCCTGCAGGGCAGACGCGGGTCACACACGGCGGGCGGTCCCTGCGCCGGAGACAGCCCGCACGCCATCGGGCAGACTCCTTAAATCTGCAAGCCCACATCTGGCAAAGGGAACG